TTTCGTTTATTCATTCATTATCATCAGCATCATCATCGCACTCTTCAAAGTCCAAGCCCTCATCACTACCATCATTGAAATATCTAAGCTGCCTGCAACGGTCTTCTGTGACTTCTGAACTCCTTTTTCTCCTTTCTTCATTCACAAATGGACAACTCTCCAACTTCAAACTGCCCTTTTCTTCCATCCATGCAACGACTTTCAGTTTGAAAGTGGCGGTGTAGGACCTGCATTTAATTCAACATGATCCTAAAAGGTTTTAAGCCTTAGACTTTACAAACTGAGAAATGTGCACAATATAATCGATAGCTGGCTAGTTCTAGTAAAAAACCAAACCAAACCCACTGCCATTGAGTCAATTCCTACTCATAACAACCCCCATTGGATTTAGTAGATCACACCATCTTCCTTCCATGGAGTGGTTGGTGGGTTTGAACTGCTGACCTTCTGGTTTGTAACCAAATGCCTTATCCACTATGCTACCAGAGTAAAGAGGTCACAAAGTTCACGTGAGGCACAGAAGCAGCAAGGGTCGTTTTATATGCTTGCAAGCACATGACTAAGGTGACTCATGATCATTGATAAAAGATATTGGCACTAATACAACATAAATAGACTATGAAATAAACAGACCTAAAATAGCTTAATGTCTTCACTTAAGATAATCTGGTAAGATTTTCACATTCAACTGCTGAGCCAAGAGCAGCTGCTTTATTAGTTTTGCTTTGTTTGCTCCTTCAGTTAAAAGCCAGAGTCAGAGGATGATACTGATAATTACATCAATGCAGACTGAATCTGGATGCCTATTGATAGCTACTCAATGCCATTTATGCTACTGCAGGCTTTGCTTTTACAATTCCTATTGATTTATGGACAAGGTTCAGCAGGTTCAGGGTTCCAATTGATAACTCAAAAGTGACAGGGATGTAATTATCAAATTAATGGCAACAAAGTTTCAATTGTTTATTTTCCAATTACCAGGGTACTACCAAACTCATCCATGACTTCTTTCCTATGGATTTATACCTTTAATATACAAATATGATCAAAAGTAAAATTTTCAGACTGGAATGGAGGGTGAATGAGGCCAAAATTCACTTCTGGAAATGCCACATGTGCAATATATACTTAGGAATGCTATGCCAGATATATTTTACATAATTTCATCATTTGTTATACATGCGCATGTCACTTATGTGGGTGTGCTACTTGTGAAAAAATATAGTATTTCTCCTGTAACTCCATTAATGTCCCATTTGAATCCTGTAAAATTACAGTGTAGCATAATTTTCTGCCACACTGTATATTTCTGTTACCTTTTGCTATGATGCTTGAGTGTTTTCAGTTGCATGCTGTTGTATTTTTCCCAGACCTCAGCTAAAGAAACAAGTTACCCAGTTGTAGCATCAATAATCTGTTCAAAAGTCCATCCATCTAGGCTCTCCAAATTGGAGTTAACTCCTCTGTCCGCTGGCTGGGTTAATGTGGTTTGGCGTTTACACATTTTCATTCAATCCCCGAGAATCAGAATGACCTAGAACATTACCCAACAATAGTTCTAAAAATAAGCCTATACTCTCTACTACTAAGCAGCAATACAGCCAGAAGTTTTGCTGTGCATGAACTAATTGATGTGCAGTGACTAATCACCAAGACCCTCAAAGAAGTGACATAATTGGTCATTGACTATGATGTACATCTCTTACTTATATAGTGATGTATGCACTAGAGAACTAGCTAGTAAGTTTGTACTTAATGCCAATTTACTCACAGTTAACCTACCACAGTAACCGAAATTCAAACCACGTTTTTGGGCGACTGGTGTTGCTCAAGCTGTGGTAACTGAAATTCCTGTGTATCATAACCAAGCAAAGCAAATACTGTCTGTACTGAAAACAATGTTAAAATGCATGCTAATTTCTTCTACCATTGAGCCCCAGAATTTTGGGCAGTCAGCCTTTTTTACCTTTCTTATTTTTCTCTATGGCTCCTAAGCCAGTCACCCTAGACCGGGTTTCTCAACTTTAGCACTACTGATGTTTTAGGTTAGAAAATTCTTTGTTGTGGGTTGTCCTGTGTATTGTAAGATGTTTAAGACAGCATCATTGGCATCTGCCTACTGAATGTCAATAGCACTCCTCATTTTTGACAACCAAAAATTTCTCAGATTCTGGCACATAGGGAGTTCTGGTGGCATAGTGCCTAAGGCATCTGACTGCCAATCAGAAGGCTGGCGGTTCAAACCCACCAGCCACTCCTTGGAAGGAAGGTTGAACAATCTACTTCCGTAGTGATACTGCCTTGGAAACCCAAGGAGGGGCTGCTATGAGTTGGGTCCAACTCGACTGCAATGTGTTTGGTTTTTTGTTTGTATTGTCAAATATCCCTCCTGGGGAAATGGGAGGAGGAAGACAAACATCACGACTGGTTAAGAACCACTGCCCTAGACAAAGGCCTCACAGTCCTATAAAAGCACACCCACACAGAAAGCTTCTCATAAGCATTTTAATGCTGTATTCATGAGTCGATGACTGAAGATCACTAAACAGAAAAGGAAAGCCTTTACCATGAGAAACAAACCAAAACCAAAAAGTCAACTATAGCATAAAAAAGAAAAACACTTCAATAAAGTATTCATATTCTCAAAGAGATACTGCATCTATGAAATAGGACTTTATTTTTTAAATAGTTAGTTGACAGAGTCAATTCAGACTCAGTGACCCCCATGTGTGCAGAGTAGAATTGCTCAAAGGGTTTTCAAGACTGTGACCTTTCAAAAGCAGATCACCAACCTGTCTTCCAAGGTGCCTCTAGATGAGTTCAAACCGCCAACCTTTTCAGCTGGTAGTCAAACATTTAACATTTGTGTCACACAGGGACTTTTTAGATATGTTCTTGACTTGTTGTTGTTGTTGTTATGTGCCGTCAAGTCGGACCTGATTGATTCATAGCGACCCCTCCTTGGGTTTCCAAGGCGGTATACTTCCTTAGTGATACTGCCTTGGAAACCCAGAGAGAAGTCGTTATGAGTCAGTCCGACTCGACGGCACATTAACAAGATCAGTACAGAAGTAGATTGGCTAACCTTCCTTCCAAGGAGTGGCTGGTGGGTTTGAACTGCCAGCCTTCTGGTTAGCAGTCAAGTGCCTTTAGGCACCATGCTACCAGAGCTCCCAGATATATTCTTAAAAATTAAAAATAATAAAAAATAAGCAGAAATCAGAAACTTAATAGAAGGGTAAAATGATAGGGCTGAGGAAAATTCTGAAAAAAAGGGTATCAGAAAAACAGAAAAATGGAGGGGAAATTAGAAGACTAGACCAGTAGCTCAGAAAAGCAGCTTAAAGAACAGAAAAGATGTGGAAGATATCAAGATATGAATTAAAAGAGCAAAGTACCCAGTTCACTGGAAAATAAATCAACTCTTCCTTGTCAAGTTTCCAATAGTGAAGACTAATTAAATAGCCCAACAAGCATTCAGAAAGACGAGTGAGTCACATTCATACAAAGGATCAGGCATTACAAAAGACTTCAGGCTGGAAGGTTAAAAAAAAAAAAAAAAGTAGTACCTTCAGTGTTCTAAAGAAAAATTATTTCTAACCTAGACGTCTATACTTAGACTACCAATTAAATGTGAAGGTAGAATAAAGACATTTTACAAGGTCTCGAAAAGAAAGCCCTCCCCAAGCACCCTTTCTGAAGAAGCTGTTTCTAAGAAGACAACTCTTTCTAGACAAACACTTTCTTGACTCAATTACTGCCTTAGTTGTCGTCTTCTGAACCAAGAGGGAAAATGTTGGGGAGACCACCATTCCCCATTTAATTACAGGGCTATGACAGAATCTAGGCTCATGAGGTCATACACCAAGTGCTATTCCAGCCAGCCCCAAAGACTACAACTAACGTCCAGCCCCAAAGACTACAACTAACGTTCATTATCTGCTAACATAAAATATTTGGAAAGTTACAGTTCTCCAGGTCTAGTTCGTCATTTGTAAATAGGACCTACCTACTACAAAAGGTCAAGAGACTTAAATGCCTATTTAAAAAAAAAAAGGAAGCAAGCAAGCAAGCTCAGTACAGTGCCTAACAATAAATGAACATTTATTGAGAACTACTCCGTGGGACCATAAAACTTTAACAGGATCCACTGGAAATCACCCACTAAGTGGTCTAATCCTTCTCGAACAGTTCAAGCTAGGCATAGCCTTACCCTTGTTATATTTTTAATGCTGGCATCTGTGGAAACACTGTAAATCAACTTATTCTCTAACAAAAAAATTCCTAAGCACTGACCTACAATCCTCATGACAGGAACCATCAACCTAATTCGCAAAGAAAGACACACTTTCATTTAACTATTCAGTAAAAAGATTATGGATCAACATTGAAGATCTCTGAAAAATTTTAAATGACATTGCTACACACACACTCATTTTAGCAATCTTTGTAATATCAAAAACTAGCAACAATCTAAATAAGGGTCTATCTAGTCAAACAGAGTCCCAGAGTAGCACTAACGGTTAAACACTGGACCGACTACTAACTGAAAGGCTGCCGACTCAAACCCACCCAGGGGAGCCTTGGGAGGAAGGCCTGGTGATGTTTCCAAAAAGTCACAGCCTTGAAAGCCCTATGAAGCAGTTCTACTCTGTGCATCTGGGATGATCATGAGTCAGACTCGGCGACAACTAATAAACCAGCCAAACAGAAAACTTGTTGGCTGTTTAAAATTGAGATTTGTATGTGCAAATATGAAAATGTCCAGGCTGTACTATGTAAGGGAAAAAAGCCAAATTGTAATGAAGTAATGTCATCTGTGTTCTTCAATGTACACAGAAACTTCAGGAATCACAAGAAACACAAGGAGTCAGCAATTCGACAACTTGTACAGTAGCTCTCACTTGGAAGATGTTCACCTTGCCAAAGAACATGCATAGCTACCTCATCAGGAACCGAGATCATTCAACATGCAACACATGAACAAAAACCATAACACATTTTCTAAAAATTGTAGGCTTTTTTATTCAGTTAAGAGGTAGACAGATGAACATGGAAAGCTGTTCCATTTAACTTGTCCAAATTCATATTCCACTTCATTCATCCATCCCACACTGCCATAAATTTTAAAGAAATAACCAAGATTTCCAGAAAGCTTTGTCTTCCTATTTCTTAGCAATAAGTCGATAAATTGATTGCAGAGACGTTATTACTACAATTTTTATTGTGTCCAAAGAACTTTATCCCTCTAAGACGCTCCCACATATGCCAATAGAACCTGCCACTACTTTGACAGGAGGACAGAGTACAAATGACTCAATTTCTCTAAGAGACTACAAGGGGAGCTTCAGTTTAATTTTGTGTTGTTAAATCCCTGTGCATGTTAGGGCAGAAGCTGGTGAAATCAATAAAGCAGACAGAGCACACACTCTCAAATGGCTCTGAATGGTTGTTGTCTCTGAAGATAACTTACGATTTTTCTTTTTTTTTAAACATTAAAACATAATGGAATTGAAGCCTGATACAAAATGTAGAGAAATATGTACAGGAATTCACAGCCCAGAAGGAAATGGGACTTCAATAGGAACCAGTGGAAACCTGGCTATTTTACATAGCTAATTTTGAGACAAGTCATATTTAGCACAAAAGCAATTATAGCACAAGTAACACTTCCCTCCCACAGCTCCCAAGCTTTAAAGACTAGTCAGTCTTCTATAACACTGCAGCCATTCTTTAAGGGAGCAGGAATGTGTAAAGTGGCCCCAAACACTGACACAAATCTTAATCCCAACAGCTTCACACTCTGAGGATGACATATTTGAAGACTGCCATGATAGCAGCACTAATCACTCCGGAGATGGGGACTGTGACAAACCAGGCCATGAAAATGTTGCGGAACAGTCGCCAGTCAACAGCCTTCTTAGATCGGAGCCAGCCAACGGATACAACAGAGCCCACCTACACAGAGAAAAAGATCAAGGAAAATGGTTCCTAAAGTGCCAATGATATTTTGGTAAACATGTGAAGTTATTTAAATAAGCAGCCCTGGACTACTGGGCAAGACTGATTCTATAAAAACTGGTTTATTACAGGTTAAGAAAATTACTCCTGAAAAGGTCAAGGCACTCTAACAATCCAAACATTAAATCTGTGCTAACTGGAGTAAAATGAGATATGAAAAAATAAACTTCCTTATTCCCTCCTGAGCTAGCTACTAGAATTTTGTATTAACTACATTGTTTGACAATAAATTATGTGAAATTATTTTAAATTTTAGGTTTTCCAAACATTAGTCTAGAGGGAAGCTGCTACTAGACTTCATAGCTGATCACCTGGAGAGATACTCTCACAGAAAAGAATGACCCATCAGGCTGGCTCCTAGCCTTGATGGACCCAACTTAAATTTCCTTAAGGAAGCCAGTTTCTTCCTTTTCCTATTATTATATGGTCATCAGGCAACCTCCAGTATTTCAATCTTGATAGGCTCTGAACATGCTTTCTGTAAATAAACTGCCTATCCAGAAGAGCTCAGATTTGCAAAGCCAAGGCTTCAGCCACCACAAACTGGTATCAATAACCCACAAAGCCAGAACTATAAAAAGCTGGCCAGTTTATTAGCACACAACCCAACTATTCTGAATGGCTTCCCAAAAAAGAGCACGTTAACAGTGCTAAGCAGAACTCACTTCAGAGATCCAAAAAATTACAAAGCAACTATAATGAGCCAAAAATCACAGCTAGCTCTATAGAATGGAAAGACTTTTATGCCATTTAGAATATAATTAACTGCTTAAGAATGGGTAAGACACACAAAAAAATGTACAATGTAAGCTTTTACATTCTTACAGGCACTTGTTCTAAACCTTCAGATTCTTCAAAATTCCAACTATCAAAGAAATGAAAATTTACATATTACTAGAACCATTTATCAGATACACCACATTTACTTTAGACTTACTTTACAATGTGTTGTACTGATGGGAAGGCCAATATTTGATGCAATTACCACAGTGAGGGCAGATGCCAATTCAATACTGAAGCCACTGCAGATACAAAACAATATCAGTGATTAATTTAGTTCGATCTTTTGATAAACTAGCTCTTCAAGTTAAAATTATCTTGCTTTTTGCTCTACTTGGTGACGAAACGTCTACTGACATCTTTATTTGTTCTAACCCCTGAAATCAAATTGGGCCATCCGATTACTCCTCTTTCCCCTCTCCTCTGTTTAACTGAGGTTTTAAGTTTCCTGGAAGCCCATCATTAAATCTGTCTGCATTTTTATTTTAAAGAATTTGGTAAACATCAGTTTTTGCTCCCAAGTAAAGACCAATAAAAGCCAAGTATTCACAGCTCTTCACTCTTTGCACACAAATCTTTCTTAGAAAAGTTATTTAGGTTTAGAAAAATTATTAGGTTGACTGACCATTGAAGCTGAAATCAAAATTATATTAAAGGGTCATACAGTTAGTAAAATTTAAAACCCTTCCTCAACAAACTTGCTTACTTCAACTAAAAAGTGATTTATGTGTTAGCACTATATAATATTACATCATCTGATTTATTACACTATGGTTTGCTTCAACAACTCACCTAGAGGGGGTGATTGGTGTCAGATCTTTTCCCATGGTCTGGATAACTCTCCTTCCCCAGACCCATAGGCCAATACAGATTCCAACACCACCATAGAGTAGCAGCCATATTGGTGTTGCTACTTTTGAAGAAACATCTCCTGTATTGTAAACCAGATACAAAGCAACCAGAGGACCAATGGCATTGCTGGGGGGAAAAAAAGGGCACAGATGGCTTTTCAGGCAGAACTAGGAAGATCCAATTTGCTAAACATACTAGAGTTGTTTAAAGCACACCTTTCAATCTTAGTTAGCAAGAAAATATTTTTTTCAAAAGAAATATATGGAACGCCAACATACACAACAGAAAAAAAAATGAGGTGCTTTGATGGAGGGGATGGCCATGTGTTAGGTTACCTCTCTCCTTCTACAGGGGGCCTAGAACAACTCTTGAGTTCCAGTGAACAGTTTATACATCACAGAACTAAGTAAGGCTAACAACATACAGAATCATTCTACAGGGTGGTTGTTTTAAATTTTCATCTTACACCCCACCATTTACTATAAAAAGAATTCGTTCAACTCTCCATAGACAAAGGTTTTTCTGTGAAAGATATGTTTGTCATCTACAGAAACAAAAACATTCTTTGTAACCTCTCTAAAGAATAAGATTTTTCTTTGTTATATTAAAGCTATTATCACAAGAAAAAAAAAAAAAAGACTTTATGTATTAGTTAAGTCAATAACTCCTATTACCTCATCCTATCCATACTATTCAACACCCCCTGGATGGTCCGAGTACCACTGCCACTGTGTTCTTCTGGCTTTATAAAAAGGATAACCAAAACCAAACACACTGCTGTCGAGTCGGATCCAACTCATAGCAACCTCTCCTTGGATTTCTGAGGCAGTGTCACTATGGAAGTAGACTGCCCAACCTTCCTTCTGAGGAGTGGCTGGTGGGTTTGAACCATCAACCTTCTGGTTACCAGTCAAATGCCTTTAGGCACTATGCCACCAGAGCTATGAGAAGGATAAGCATCGCCAAGATTCAATGTCTACTAACCTGACGTCATTGCCACCATGAGCAAATGACCCGAAGCAGGCCGTGAGGATCTGCAGGAATTGGAAGAGGAGAGACACTTCTGGTTTATCCTGGTCATACCACTCTTCATCTAGAGAGCCACTACTTCCTTTTCTGTCACCTAGACCCATCTCTCCCTTGACACTCATGTCTATCTCAGACACAGAGTGAATATCAGACACAGCATTGCAGTAACTGGTGTAACTATCCATGCGAATTCGCTTCTTGGTGTCTGCATTAGCCCATGTCAGTTTCTCCATTTCTTCACCTTTCTGTTCACCTTCTTTGGCACGGAATGAGTCCAGAGGCATGCCACAAATTGCCATAGTATAGGATGTATAGCTATTATTGCGTCTCAAGGGTTTGTCACCAGAATCTCCCATGCAGTCTCCCACCTTGGCAAGATGTAATTTATGAAGGAGCTCTTTGTACAAGCCAGAATCTTTATGCACGGTGTGATACTGATAGTGACCACTGGAGTTTATCTGGTTGCTGACTGCTTGATTGAACTGAACAAGGTTCCCATTAGGCAACTGCACTGCACCTACCCAAGGCCAAAAAGGTAACATTGAATACAAAGAACATCAAGACCAAAACACTAAGTTTCTTTACCACTACAGGTAACAAAATGAATCTACTCCCCCCAACTCAAGGAATTTCAACTCACCATTCATGGCACTGTCTATGCTAGTTTCCTGTTTCAGATCCACACTGGGAAGCCTCTCTCGTTCTGGAGCTTCCTCCAAGTCTCCAAGCTTGAATGAAACTGTCCTCTCTTCCACCACAGCTCGGAGGGGAACAGTGGCAGACCCTACATCAGAAACAGGACTCCTACTTTCAACATCAAGAGACAATTTTGTTTCTTCATGGTCTTCTTTCAAGCTGTTCTTTTTTTCCATCAAGGGACTTTCAGAAGGACTAGACTTTATTTCTCCTAAAAAAGAAGGGGTTTTTTGGTTTGGTTTTGACCACAGCAACTTTCTGCACAGCTCTCTTTCTTCCACCCCAAAATGTCTCACAATAAGAACAAAAATGTAAATTACAGTTAAAATTAAGAATAATTTCCCTCAATGTATTTGTTAACAATTCATTTTATATCTAGGAACACACTAGCAAAGGAGAACACCCCATGGCAAGAGTTGGTCAACCTTTCCTGCAAAGGGCCAAACGATAAATATTTTAGGTTTCAAGCTATCACATAAATTTGTACTTTTTTTTTCATTTTCACAATCCTATTGTTATGGATTGAATTAGGCTATTCAAAAAATGTGTTGTAAATCCTAACCCCAGTAACTATGAAATTTGCTACAATCCCATTTGGGAATGGGTTTTGTTAACAAACATGAATATGGCAAGTATTCGTGTAGAGTATGTCTTAAATCAATCTCTTTTGAGATAATAAATATTTGTTAAAGGTGTTATCTCTGTCATACCAGTATCAGATAACTACCGATCTCAGCTCCCTGCCAACCCACTCACTATTGGAAGATGGCTCAAGTATGGAGCTACCACATGATCAAAAATAGAGACCACACCTAGTTCATTTTTTTTAAAAGAAGGAAATCTCCAAATTTCAAGCCAAGAGTCCAATGGAAGCAACTTTAATTTCCATCTCTTTGTTTTCAGCAGCTTTCTAAATTCCATGTTCAAGAAGGAATATTTCCTGCCTATCGTATCAATGTTCAGTATATATTAACCTACTGTTTCAGATATTATAGTCAAGCATCTACCAAGACTCTCACAGTGAGGGAGAAAATGAGGTCAGAAAGTTTGGACTGCCTCGTTCCCACTAAGTGTTCAGCAAAGCTAGACTAGCAGAGCCTCTCCAAGGCCCTTTGGTTCAGCTGCAGTGACGCAGCACTCTTCCTAATACCACTGCAGTCTGTGCATCACTCTGCTTCTGAAGAACAAACTTTAAATCACTAACTTAGCATTTGCATAGAAGGGCAGAAAAAGAGTATGTCAACAGATCTCAGCCACTAAGGAAAGGAATGTAAGATTTAAATGAGAAAAATGACACTATCAGATTCTATTCAGTATCTAATTATACTATAAAACGTCAGAATCTACTCAGTTTTTAATTATACTATAAAATGTATAGCAAAGGCCTAAATGATTCCCTCACATGCCACTTAAAAATGTCTTACCTCTAGAATTTGTATTAACCTGAGTTATTAACCTCTGAGAACTAAATGTAAGATCAGATATTGTACTTAGCTTTGTATGTCTGTACTTGAAGTTATACACTAATACCTCCATACAAATAGCTGGGGCAAATACTTCTTTTATTGAAGTATTTTATATTTACCCCTTATTTTTCATTAAGGTGCAAGCTCTGGTGGCACAGTGCCTAACGCACTTGACTGCTAACCAAAAGGCTGGTGGTTCAAACCCACACTAGCCGCTTTTTGGAAAGAAGGTTGGGCAATCTACTCCCATACTAATATTGCCTTGGAAACCCAAGCAGGGGTCATTATGAGTCAGATCCGACTCGACAGCATTGAGTTTTGAGTTTTTCATTAAGGTATCTGCTTACTTTTCAATTTAAGGTAGGCTATAACTTCTCTATCTTGTCACAGCAACTGACTCAGATATACCAAGAAAACAGATTAAATGCCCAGTATGATTGACTCCATAGCAGTTGAGGTGTTTTTTTTTTTTTTTTGGTTATGGCCCTGCAACATAGGTCAAGTATCCTTACAGCCCAAGCCACAAAAAAATTATGCTTGGGGAACAAACCATATCCACTAAAAATTTCTTACACTGCCAGCTTACCCAAATAGTAGATTTTTATAGGTGATTTAACAGAAATAAGCACATTGTTAGTTATATTTTTCTGCTACATGTGGTTACTTACGTTCAATTTTTCTCTTCATCCTGGGACATACAAAGAACCAGACGATAAGGGCACAGAAAACTGCACATCCCACCGAGATGAGGATGGTACCCCACAGAGGAAGTTTGTCAAAGCCCAGCACTAGGAGATAAAATGGTGCATCTTGAAAACCCCAGGGCAACAGCCCCCTGCAATAATGTGCAAGCCCTCCTGGGGCTGAGGGGTTTCCCAAGCCAGCCCATCACCTTTTACAGCTAGCTGTTACTAGTTGTAGTTCTACAGGATTTACTATGCTAGCAGCTATACTTATCAGCTTCCATTTGTCAGAAAGTCCATCAGTTATCTTAAATCCACACTTAAAACACCTGCAAAACTGAGGTTTCCTAATGTACCTTCTCATTTCAGTTTCTTTTCTATATTTTCAAAGACACTAAGGATTACTGTACTCTTGAGTACTTGCAAACTAGTTATTCTACTCACTTGCCTCCTGAACTTAGCTGCCATACATTACATTTGCACAAAGGTTTAAATTAATGTTAAAAAATCAGAGTCAACTTTGTCAGGCTGATAAATTCTCTATGGAAAAGTTATCATATTCTTCCTACCAGCCTTCAGTCGAATCTTTTTAACAAGATTATCTCTTTGAAAGTATTGCCTAAGAAAACTGGAATGCTATCTACCAACAGGTAAGATTACCTTAAAGAGCTCTTTCACAAAAGAAAAAGTTTGGTGGTAAATTCATGAACTCAGATTTTAAAAGACTTGCTTACCGGTACTTTTCACATGGCTCAAAGATTGCTAATATTAGTCATTATCTCCTTGTCACTTTCATGCTAATAAACTCCTGTATCACTAGCTTGTACTAAAGACAGAATCAAAGCAATTACTAGCCATCCAATTTAGCCTAAAAGATTTGTAGTTCATCCAAGAACTTAGTTACCTGTGGTATTTTTGCTTTACTTTGCTTAAGAATTACTAATGAAATAGAAATTCTATTGTCCAATGAGTAATCTTCAAAAATTACGATAAATTGCAGTGCCTCCAAAAATTGAAAGTCTATGGACTGTTAGTCTTTTCATCTTAATTGCTTTCCATTTTTACTATGTAGATTAAGTCAGACAAACTGAACTGTACATGAAATTCAACCAATCTCTATCACAATGTAGACTTGCCTAATTTCCAAAAGTCAAAAAGGGGAAACAAGAGACTAGTTTTTCTGATAAATGATGCAAAAATACCCAAATTCTCATTTTTCAAAAATAATTTGTTTCTAATTACACAGTAAACATTGCTGCTGACACATAAACCGTAAGTGCTCTGAGTCTCATGGAAGACTTTTCTTGTTCATTGTGAAGAACATAATTTTAAACACAATTTTCCTTCATATGCACCATTTAGAATAAGGATTCTGGTATACACTAATAAGAGATCAATTGTCTCATAAAGTAGTTCATTTTCTTTCTGGAGTATTCTAAGAATAAAGGAGAAGTTAAAATTACTTAGCTAATTCCATTTTTGCTCAGTGACATTACTTAAGATGTGGCTGAAGAAGCAAGTCACAACCCATTAGTCAGAAATAAAATCAATTTAGTGAGCCACAAACAGCATTTTAAAAAAACCATTTGAAAATATGAGTGCATCGCACATAGATTCATAACACTATTCCATTTATCTAGCTAGGTCTGTACATACATATATATGTAATGCATGTGTGCCCTGAGCAGCAACGTATTTCTTCCAATGGATTAGTCAAATGATTGAAAGCCAATGACCATCAGTGTCATATAATCCTAGAGAGCAAAGCTGGTCAAGGCATGTATTCCGTCCTACCTGACAAGGTTATCAATCTTTTATAGTTATTATACATATATAGCTGTGATTTAGTCCATGCTTTGCCTTAGCTCCAACATAAAAATAAACATTTCGAACTTTATATTCTCACAAATTATTTTTCCTCTTAGCTGCATGAATTCTTCTTCCAAGTGCACTTAGACCAGTTGTTAAACATGCCAACTCTTCTCATTCAAGCAGATTCGGGGGGAGTAAATTTAGTACTTAAAAACAGAATAGTTCCACTTGGGAGAGAAAAATGAGAATATCCAGCAAACCAGTCCTAAATGACTGATTGTTGAAGACCAAATTTAACTAATAACTCTTCAATAGTCGAGGTCAATATCAATTCCAGCATTTTTAGCATAGATGGGAGAAAGAGAAGGAGAAGATCATATTATCGGTGGATCCTGTGAAGACTAAAGAGGAAAGGTCTGTAGTGACTTAGAATCTGAGCAGGTCTCTTTGGTTGAAAAACTATCTAGGTTAACTCAGCATACACTAGCCTGCAGCCTTCTGAAATGGGTGCAGGCCAGCCACCTTCTAGGAGATTTCAGCCCTGTAAAGCAAAAAGGGGTAAATTGGGCATTTAATGCAAGTTTTGTAAACAACTTGAAATTCACATTTAAATATTTTTATATGAACTTACAAGGTGCTCCAGTATACATGATGGAAAAGAGGTTTATTCCAACTGTGCAGGCATAGAAAACTGGCAAAGCTCTCAAACCATTAGGAACTGGATCTGCCTGTAAAATATCATTAAGACCAATACATTAACAGCTGTAAAAATTAATCTATTTCCACAAAACCTTGTAACAGAGCAGGTTTAGGAATTACAGTACCAGTGTTATCTCCATAATCGTTTCCAAGGGCAAAAGGATTTTTTCCTCATCTGTTCCCCGAAGTCTACCTACCAAAGCTGATTCCATCTTATACCTGAGTTAAAGTTTACATAATTGTGTTTGCCCTCTAGTACATCACATTTTTCTTTTTCTGGCTATTTTAATAATAAAACCACCTACCTATAACAGTGATTAATAACATCCTGAATAATCAGTTTTTCAACACCCACATTCTTATAGCACTTGAAGTCTGGATTTAATCTCAAAACTCTCCTTACAAAGTCTGAGCACATATCTCAAGATGCACTAAGTGTAACAAAAGTCAAAATACAGACCACGAAGCATTAAGACATTCCTATCTAACTTTGTATCTTCAAAGATTTCTTAAAAATAAAACATGTAGAATGTAACTGCTTCATATACAAATATACCGTAATATCTTACCAAAGTGCTAAGATAAAAATCAATCATGCACTAGTCCATCCACTCATTCAACTGACTATATGTGCATCAAACACTATTCTAGGCACTAATATACAGGGGTAAATGAGACAAAGTTCCTGCCTCACAGAACATTCATATTCAAGGATGAAATGTTAAGTACTACAAGCATTATTTAAAAAAAGAAGAAAGAAGGCTAAAGGGGCATTGATGGAAGAAGGGGCACATGTCAGTTCCGAGAGGTGAGGGAATGAACGTGGCCTGAATAGAAGACAAGAATGTAGTCACCTAGCTAATTATTCCAGACAGTGGTGTTCACAAATACAAAGGCCCTGAAATAAAAAAAACTTTAAGGAGGCCTGTATAACTGGAAATTAAGAGTTCCACTTACAATGACTGTGTATTAATTCCACAGGAAAAGAAAACACTTAAAAAGAATGGAAACACAAAAATAAATAAATAAACAGGGAGCCTCAATTTTAAAGATGATAGCCTAAAGGTTTAATCTTGAACACAGTTCCAATGGAAATCTTCGGGGGAAGAGACAAAATACAAAGACCCTAAAGTCATTCTAAAGCTTCTGATAAGAATAATCAATACAGTGGGCACAATGAGGTAGTTGCTTAAAAATCAATGAAATGGAAAATCTCAGCCATAAACTCATTTCGTGTAGTAAGGGTGCCATTCCAAATTAATGGGCCTCCTTGAATAAAACCACCGCAAATGTTAACTTCTCCACCCACTGTCAAAACAGACCCAAGAATAGATGACAGAATCAAGGAACTGTTAAGCACATCTCAATAACAGACCAGCATTAGTCACACTACGGAGTTCTGGTGGCATAGTGGCTAAAGCATTCAGCTAGTAACCAAAGGGTCAACGGTTCGACCCCACCAGCAGCTCCACAGGAAAAAGATGAGGCAATCTGTTTCTGTAAAAATTTACAGCCTCGGAAACTCTGAGGCAGTTCTACTCTGTCCTAAAGGGTCGCTATGACTCAAAATGGACACAAAAGCAGTGGGCTGGTGCTGGGTTGGTTTTTATAGTTGTTGTTAGTCACACTGAGGGCCATCAGTAAGGTTATGAACTTGAGGTATATATGCGTTTTTCTTCTAAGGACTATCACCCACAGCTTTAAAAAAATTTCCCAAGAGACCTAAACTAAAACCCATCACCACTGAATCAATTTTGAAGCACTGCAATGGTACAGAACAGAGTAAACTGCCTTATAGGGTTTCCAAACCTGAAATCTCTACGGAAGCAGAGTGCTACATCCTCCTCCCATGGAAACACTGGTGGATTCAAACCACCAACCTTATGGTTGTCAGCCAAGCACTTAACCACTGTGACACCAGGGCTCCTCCCAAGAGACCTAAGAGCCCCCATCCCCAAAAAGAGCTAAACCCATAAGGGATCTATATACATGATGCGTGGACTTCTCTTAACAAATTTCAATGACTATTTGGTAATACTGTATCTATAAACCAAACTGTCATTTCTCAGAGTTGAGAGGAAGTAGCTATACAGGCCCAATAGTTTTAGTTTTTTTGCTTTTTTTTTTTTGTATCGCCCAATTAAGTATTCCCTGAACCAGTAATAAACTGCTTGAGGAAATGACACCATTACTAATAGATAATTAAATAAATGCTCATTTAAAAAAAAAAAAAAAACCAAAAAAACAACATGGTCATATAGTTCCTAAGACTCTAGAGCAAGGTTTTAACATGACAAAGGCTCTCTCCTTTCTCCTTCCAACCACTTCAAAGAGCTAACAGTTTCGATAAAATTATCACTATATGACCCACCTTACACACACTCAAAACTTTGCCTGGGAATAACACACTCATTCTATCAACATGGTTAAGTTCCAATAACCACATCATCATACAAAAATGGAACTAAATCATTACATAACTGCTAAATTACATCTTTATGTAATTGCCAAACCAAAGAATCATGGCCCAACCAAGTTGACACATAACCTTAGCCATCATAGCCAGCTTAATTCTCACCTCACACCTCTGCATTCATTACTTCAACATGTCACTAATGCACAAAAGTTTTCTGTCTTAATGCAAAATATTGTAAACAAGATAGTTATTATGTGAGAAATAGGTCTATATACCTCATCATCCATTTATGTGGTCTGAGAAAGATGGTTTTTATACTCCCCACTTTCATTTTTACATACTGGATACTCCAGTAAGTTTCTGTTTAAAGAAAAAAGGTCTGCTACTTTTAAAAGCTGTTCCAGACGTAAAAGACCTGTTTTCTTTGCCCTTACAAAATCTTTTTATTTTTGCAGTGTTCCTTCCTCTCTCCTTCCCCACTTAGTACCCAACAGAGAACGTTTCCTTCCATATATAAACTTTTCCTTGACTTCTTACAATAATGAGTATTTGTCATTCTGTGATTGACTTATTTCATTCAGCATGAAGTCCTCCAAATCCATCCAAGTTATGTGGTGTTTTGCAGATTCTACATTATTCTTTAGTGTTACACAGTACTCCACTGTGTGTATGTACCATAGTTTGCTTATCCATTCTGTTCATGGGCACCTAAGTTGTTTTCATCTTTTTGCTATTGTAAATAGTGCTGCAATGAACATGGCTGTGCATGTGTCTGTTCTTGTCCTGGCTCCCACTTCTTTAGGATATATACCTAGTAATGGGATTGCTGGGTCAAATGGTATTTCTAATTCCAGCTTTTTAAGGAATTGCCACACTGCTTTCCACAGTGGTTGTATCATTTTACAGTCCCACCAGCAGTGTATGAGAGTCCCAAATCTTTCCACATCCTCACGAGCATTTATATTCTGTCTTGCTGAATTTTTCTGTTAGTGATGGGGCAAGATAGTATTTCATTGCTTTGATTTGCAGCTCTCTAATGGTGGCATAGGAGCTCTGGTAGCATAGTGCCTAAGGCACTTGACTGCTAACCAGAAGGCTGGTGGTTCAAACCTACTAGCCACTCCTCAGAAGGAAGACTGGGCAATCCTACTTCCGTAGTGATACTGCCTTGGCAACCCAAGGAGGGGTCGCTATGAGTCAGGGCTGACTCCATGGCACATAACAACAACAATGGTGGCATAGTGCCTAAAGCATTTTTGACTGCTAACCAAAAGGCTGGTGGTTCAAACCCACCAGCCATTCTGCAGAAGGAAGACTGTCAATCTACTTCTGTAAAAATCTACTGCCTCAGAAACCCTAAGGAGGTCACTGTGAGTCAGAATTGACTTGATGGCAATGACCTGGGTTTTTTTTTTTTTAAATGGCCAATGATCGTGAATATTTCTTAAATGTGTTTGTTGGCCACCTGAATGTCCTCTTCGGTGAAGTGTCTTCTGCCCATTTTTCAATTGGTTTGGGTTTGTCTTTTTATTTTTGATTTATTGGTGTTTTCTATAAATTTTAGAGGTAGTCTCATGTCAGATACGTTGCTGCTGAATGCTTTCCCCCAGTCTGTAGGTTCTCTTTTTACTCTTTTGGAAAAGTCTTTGGAAGCACCAAAAAGTTTACTCTTTAGAAGGTCCCATTCATCTAGTTTTATCTTCTGCTATTTGTGCATTTTGGGTTACAAAGACCTGTTTCCTTAACTAGAACTTGATACTCAAAAGGAATACTTTCCCCTTCCCCTATTCCTTAACACAATTACTTCACTTTTACTGTACTTTTTCCTAATAAATAACCTAGTGTATTTGAACAGAGACATTCAGAAAACAAATTTTTCAAAAAGCAACTTTAATTTCTAAAATACAATCTTAAGAGTTGGGAAGTATCTTAATGGTTAAATATTCAGATTTTGTCAGATGAAACACTAAAAGCTTACTGCTCTAAGGCTTTTTTCCTAGTGATTTAAAAACCTACTGGTAGCCAGAAATACTCACTCATCACCTAAAAACTCCTCATCCATTAGTGAGGGACTGGTATACACTGAAGAGGGGATGGGGACTGGGGTGAGGGGTGTTGAAGATCCTCAAAGTCAGTATTATCTTAAACAGTATCTCATTTGCCCTTGACCATGCTTATCCCTCATACCCATATAAGGAATACAAAGTTAAGAAATATATTAATTTAGCTAACTTAACAGGAGCTCTGATGGTGTAGCGGGTTAAGGCATTTGACTCCTAAGCAAAAGGTCAGTGATTCAAACCCACCAGCCACTCCATGGAAGATGAGACAGTCTGCTTCCGTAAAGATTCTTAGCCTTGGAAACCTAACGGGGTTTGTTTTTCCTTTGTTTCAATCTAACTCAAGCTCTCAATAACTGGAAATGGATCCCACAACTGAGAGGTTCTGCGCACCTGAAAAATCCTTCTACACCCCCCACCACATCCTCCACCCTGCCCCAGGAAAGAAAACAAGTTTGTTTTGTAGAGGGAAGACACATGAAGCCTCTCAACAAGCATTAAGAATCTGTTTCCCAATAATCAACAAAGTCAATGAAAATCCTTATAAAACAGGCATCCATATAGGATATTATTAATATTCTCGGTTCTCTGGTATGTAGAGGGCTTTATGGGTCTAGCAAAAACAGAAATCTGATCCATGACTATAGATAAACTTCAGTTACAAGCACCATATTATCATATGCTACAGCTGAGTGGGAGTATTTCTGGTGGGAAAGTAGGTGCTAGTAATACCTGCTTGCTAAATAAAAACAGTATGGAACTGATGGCATAGTGGTTAAGTGCTTGGCTGTTAATCAAAAAGTCAGCAGTTTGGACCCACCAACCGCTCCCTGGGAAAAAGATGTGGCAATGTGCTTCTGTAAAGATTACAGCCTTGGAAACCCCATGGGGCAGTTCTAATGTCCCATAGTGTCAATGTAAATCAAAATTAACTCAGTGGCAACGGGTTTCAGTGGGTTTGGTTTGGATGTTTTAGTAGAAGCCCTCAGCTGCTACCAAAAGGTCAGTGGTTCAAAGCCACCAGCCACTCTGCAGGAGAAAGATGTGTCAGTCTGCTTCCATAAAACAAAGTACAGCCTTGGAAATTCTAGAGGGCTGCAATTCTACTCTATCTTATAGGGTCACTATGAGTCAGAATCAACTTGATGGCAATGGGCTTGTTATAGATGTTCAAGTCATTAAAAGTTGCTGTATTTGCCAGATTCAGATTATGAGAAAGTGCTTACCATCACTTTTCTAGTCAAAGAGTTTCTAGAGGAGTGATATAAATCCTTCCCTAGAGAAGCTTAAAACTAGACCAGACAAGTAGATCTCAATACGTTCTTACCTCTTGGGATTAACCTATCTATCTCCATTCACTCAGATTTCTACAGTTTAGGAACATTTTAAAAAACTTACAATGGACTAGTTAAGAACCATTTACCTCAGAAAAAGGGCAACTTTGTTTCCTGAGAAAAATGCATTTTATTCTTACTGTTAACTCAGTTCCATGCCAACAAAATCCCTTGTTGTCTGCATTTTTTTTTTTTCCAGCATCAGACTTCCTGATAAAAGAAATGTGATCAGGTCCATCAAAAGGACAGGAAATAAAATGGCTGCCCAGATTGGGAAAGGGGGGACAAAAAAAGAGAAGAAACCCAACTACCTTTTCTATTTTACTTATTCTGAAAAATTAGAGTTGAGTTACCATGTGTGGTAAAGTCCTCATCTAGAAGCTTATAATCTGGTTATAATAATTAGCACTGTAGAAAGAACTATGTAGGGACTCAAACTACTCCCATTTAACTGGCAGCTCAGAAAAAGCCCCAAGGAATATTGTGACTTGTTGAACCTCAAACTTACAGTTCAAATTGGTCTGAATATAATATTGCCTTGGATAAAGTAGTAATCAGCCACAGCTAAACAAAATCATTTTAAATAAATTCCCTTATTTTTCTACTCTGGTCTTTCCTATTTCTTGGCACATCTTAGTATTCATTCAATTTTTCCTTCCTGGGTATTAAAAACTTGTTTTCAGAGAACATAACATACAAAAAGTATACTCTATGTGTGCATGTATATATACACATGTTTGTGTGTATTTGTATTAACTCTTCCAAGGCCACACACCAATAACATTTGCAAGAGTTTGAACGTAACTGTGACCCATTAAAGGTCACGCTATGAAGGAGAAAGCTTACCTTACGCAGGATGAATGCACGGACAAGGAAGAATAAGATTCCAGACATAACACCAGAAAGCAGTGGAGAAACAAACCAAGACATCACTGAAATAGAATGTATTGAGAAAAAATGTCATTTACTGCAAATACAGAAGCAAATCACTTCAATGTTTCATTTTCAAAACTGTCCTTCCATTTTACATCACCTCCCATACAAACATGGTAACATACGACAAACAAAATTAAGAAGCCATTTAGAGGTAAACATACCAATTTTTATAAGTTCAGACCACTTGACACCCTCCTGACTCGCAACGAGGGAGAAACCAATGGTCGCACCAACAATACAATGGGTACCAGAAATGGGAAGCTTCAAAAACGAAGCCACTAGTTGCCACACAGCAGAACCTGAAACACAGTCAAGTTTTATTAAACAGCAAAATTCCATCATGTGAACAGAAAATTCAGGAACAAATAATTTGTAAGGTGGAGCACAAGATATGAGCCACCCACCATGCAAATTTGCTCACTCATCACTAAAAGGTACTTACCAAACATTGCACTGACTGAGCCAGCCATCAGTAACTGTTGGGTCGAGCTGTACATCTCCACATCAATCAGGCCCTTCCGGATCGTTTCACTCACTTTGGCTCCCAGTAAGACAGAGCCCACGGTTTCAAAGATGCTAGCTAGGATGCAGGCTTGCTTCAGCGTCACTACACCTGAGCCCACAGCTGTACCAAACGAATTTGCTACATCATTGGCTCCCACAGAAAAAGCCAAGACGAACGCAATAATGAAGCCCAGTGTAAGCATCCATAGGTAGTCCACCAACGGACCAGAAGCGGCAGAGGCAGCAGCAATAGTACTGGTAATGAGTGTGGTGGCCACGGTAGATGCCATTCTCGGAAGTAGTGGTTTTAATACGAGAATTACTGCGCGGCTGTTAATATGTGTAAACAGAAGATGAGGTATCAAAATACTGTAATAAATAATAATATATTATATAAAATTAAATACTGTAAACTACGGCACAGAAACCGAGCTGGGGAGTTACTGCTATACGCTGTGCAGGGGCATCTGTTGTCTGTGGGTTCTTTGGCTCTGGAAGGCTAAAAGCACGGAGCGGAATTCCATGGCCGAGAAAAGCAAGGACGTAAGTTCATCCTGTGGGCGAGAAGAAAATAACAATAGCGCCGCGCCACCCCGGGGCCAGTCTGGCACTTCCTCCCGCCCCGGGGCCGAAGACCTGGCTGCGTCCACAGCGCACCACATAAGCGGCGCCACGCGAGGTAGCAGAGCACGTGGCGCTGGGCGCCTCCCGGCCAGCGCGCGTCCAACCCTAACCCCCGCGCCGCCGGCCCGCGCGCGCCCTCTTCGCGAAAACCGGAAAAGGGCTGTTCCCGCGCGCGCCGCCTAAGGACCGCCAAAAAGGCCCGCGGGCGGAAGGAGAGATACGGGAAAGCGGCTGAAGCAGCGACTCCCGAAGCGCGCCGCGCGGGGAGCGGGAAGCGACAGGCTGCTCACAATGGCCGGCTTGGCCGCGACGCCCGCGCCCTGCCACGGTAAAATGAAAGAGCTTTTCCAAAGTGGCACCACCACTCACCAGAGAAAACGAGAAACTGAGCGAGATTTGGAAGAGTACAGGCTGCGGCAGCAGGCTGGAGCCACGCACGCACTCGGTCGGCGAAAAGACGGCCCGGAGCGGCTGGCACCGAGGAAGACTAGGCAGGAATAGCCACCTATCCGGGAAGTAGCGGCTGTCGCCTCAGCGGCCGAGAGAAGATAGCACGCAGAGCGCGCCGGCAGCCATCCCTCTGGCGACGTACGCCGCTAGCTGCTTCTTATAGCCGGCGCCGCAACCCGCGTGACCCGCCGCGCCTCGCGCCGGTTCTGAAGCCCCGCCCTCTGGATGACGCAACACCCGCCGGTCCGGCGGGCAACGCCGGGTGAGCTGGATGGTTGCGCTCATTGACTGGGCCCGGGGGGCTGGCTACGCCCCAGGGCAGGAGCTGCCCACGTGGGTATGGCCAGCCCCCGCCCTGCTGCCTAGTATCCTGGTTTCTTGAACGTTGTATACTGCTGGCTGGTTACCGGCGGAGATCCAAGATCCAGGGGTCCCTTGTCCTGTCCCTGAAGGTCGCCATGTAGGGAGGGTTACAGAGGCTACGACCAAGGTCGTTCGTTGCTCCTCTCCCACAAACCTAACGGGCTCAGTTTTGCAGTCAGTATTCGCTGCGCTTCAAGACGCACTTTGAGCTCACTTGTGACCTGCTGCATCTGGAGCCACACCTGGCTGACTTCCCTCCTGTCCGCCCGGTGACGCTGCAGGGAAGCTTGCTGCCCTGCGGCTCCGGATCCAGTCCAGGCACGTTGTCGCACCTGTGACTTGCCTTTGGCTGGACAGGCACTGTCCTGCGTCTGGGGGAGGGCTCACGTGGTTTCTTTGCTCCCGCAGTCATGCACTTGGGTGAAAACAGACTGAAGAGTCACGGGAACGGGTTGTCTCTCCAGATATGGCGCAAAGCCCCAAGTGGTTGTGGGTCATTAATTTACCACTGGCAGGCTTGTGTTTTCTAAGCGGCGACTGGGGGAGGGGGGTGCAGAGACACTGCTTCCGATTCAAATTCTGACTTTCCTGCTTGCTGCAGTGTGTCACCTTGAGCAAGTCCCAAATCTCTCTTATCCTGCATTCTCACGAATGTAAAATGTTGCTGTAACTACCTTTTGTTGGAAATTGAATGAATTGACGTGTGTGAATGTTACTGAACTTGGTAGGTTTTCAATTATGCTCATTTCCATTAATATGCTTGTTTTAGAATGTAGAAAAAAGATGCAAAGGGATGTTTGCATTTTGAGGCAAAGATTGATTTCCAGAAACAACAACATATGATACACAGTGTACTTTTAAGATTAATAAGATTTGTTCTGAACGTTTAGGGACATTTCATTATATGGTTTAAGATCAAGATGAACCAACAATGCCGGGGAGGAGGAGAGTTAAGGTGGTCTCTTTCAGGATTCTGTTCTTAGATGCTGTGGAGTCGATTTTCCACTTATAGCGACCCCATGTGACAAGAGTACAACTCCATAGGACTTTCTGGTCTGTTTACAAGAACAGGTCACCAGTTCTTTCTCGCCAGAGCCGCTGAATGGCTTGGAACTGCCAGTCTGGCCGTTAATAACCAAGTTCTTAATTTCTGTGCCACTAGCATTACCTGGGGGTTGTAATGAGACTGAAAAATACCATACTGTAAGATAGCACTAGCTAGTAGCATTGCCCTGAGTAGCAGAAACAAACATATTGTAAATGGTTGCTATGTCTGTGTCAACCCAAGTATCCTCTTACCTACCTAGAACAGTATCCTCTGACCTACCTGGAACATTTGGTGGAGTTACACTAAAACTTTGTGAAGTTCTAGGTCCCAAGGTCAAGTCTGAAAAAGAAAGTACGTGTTTGGGAGCACTGACTCTGCAGTCTAATTTAGATGTCATTCTGGCATCTTAAAATGGACTACTCCCTCCACCTTCACCTCATTAAAAGGTTATCAAGAACTTGAATAAAAGGAGTGATGTGTTAAAGGTCTTTAATGTTCTACCATTTCAAACAATAATTCTAAAAGTAAGCAAATTGCCTAGAACTTTTCCCCAATCCCATGTGCCAGTATGTGTCTTTTTCAATCTGTATGTAAATACATTTTTGTCAGCCTGTGGTATTAGCTCTTTGGAAAGTGGTTGGGAGGTGGGGGAGGGAGAAGCCACGGGAGGCATCAGGGTGTGAGAGTAGAGGCCCCTTGAGGTGGGTTTGCAGGGAGTGGGAAAGCACTAGGGTAGAGATGCAAAGAATTTTTTGCCTTGCAAATCAATTCTGTCAACAAGCTCAAGCTCTAGAATGGTGTTGTCCTTCCTCCTCAGAGCTATGCTCAGAGTATCTCTGCTAACCATGCTATAAAGAGAAAGTGAGAGATTAGGGTAGGTCCTTATTTCCTCACCTCAGGAGAAAGAATCAGTGACCATGAACCTTGGAGACCTGGACTTGTCTTGATGGGGCTTCTTCATCCTCCCATTGGGGAGGAGAGATAGGGCTGTGCCTGTGGAGAAAAGTTATGGTGACCTGAAAATAAACAGAAAAAGTAGGTATGAGGCTGCCGATTCATACACAAATGGCACTGCTTCTGACCTTACTGCTAAACACTGCGGGAAAACCAAACTAACTTTCTGCCATGGAGTTGATGCAGACTCATAGCGAGCCTAAAAGACAGTGTAGAAGTGCCTCACAGGGTTTCCAAGGCTGTAAATCTTTACGGAAGCAGACTGCCTCGCGGCTGGTGGGTTTGAACCAACAAGCTTTTTTGCTTAATAACTGAATGCTTTAACCACTGCACCACTAGAGCTCCTTAATACTGGGAGAAGTTGGTTGAAATCATAATGATAATACTATTCTGTTAAAATCAAGGCATTGGAATTAAAAAATGGGCAGAAGACATGAATAGACACTTCACCAAAGAGGATATTCTGGTGGTCAACAAACATGAAGAAATAAATGCTCACAACCATTGCCATTGTTGCTGTTGTTGTTATGTGCCTTCAAGTCGAACCCAACCCATAGCGACCCCTCCATGGGTTTCCGAGGCAGTATCACTACGGAAGTAGATTGCCCCATGTTCCTTCCGAGGAGTGGCTGGTGGATCTGAACTGCCAGCCTTCTGGTTAGCAGTCAAGTGCTTTAGGCATAACGATGAGATACCATCTTGCCCCAGCCCTAATAGCAAAGTTCAACAAGACAGAAAATAGCAAATGCTGGCGAGGATGCAGAGAGATTGGGACTCTCGTACACTGCTAGTGGACTGTAAAATGGTATTTACAGTGGAAAACCACCGTGGAAAGCAGTATGGCAATTCCTTAAAAAGTTGGAATTAGAAATACTATTTGACCCGGCAATTCCATTACTAGGTATATATCCTAAAGAAGTGAGAGCCAGGACAAGAACAGATATATGCACACCCATGTTCATCACAGCTCTATTTCCAGTAGTCAAAAGACGGACACAACCTAGGTGTCCATCAACTGAAAAATGGATAACCAAACTATGGTACATACACACAATGGAATACTCTGCAATCCTAAAGAATAATGAAGAATCTACAAAACACTGCATAACATGGATGAACTTAGAGGACATTATGCTGAGTGAAATAAGTCAATCACAGAAGTACAAATATTGTATTAGTCCATTATTGTAAAAAGTCAAGGAAAGGTTTATATATGGAAGGAAATTTCTTTGTTGGTTACCAGCGGTGGGAGGGGAGGGGAGGGAACACTGTTAGATAGGTAGAGACAAGTATTGATTTGGGTAAAGAGAAGGGCATTATACCAAATGTGAGTGATCAACATGGTGGCATTGGGTAAGAGGAAGGCATAGAGAGGAGGTTACATGGGAGGTACAGACAACAAAGATGAACCCTTTTGTACATACAGTACTATGTTGTCAGTGAGAGCAAACATTGGTATACGGGTGGATAGATGGGTGGACAGGCTGAACTATTAGGTATGTCTATGCAGGGGGAAGTGTGCCCAAGACCATGTATAGGGTTGGCAGACAATGATTCTACAAGTGTATTTGTATGTTCTGTAAGAATTTCCAGGTGTATAGTAGAGCTGACAAGGGACAAGGTTGTAGTCACTCCTTGGGCCAGCTACCCCTAGGGAATGAGTAGTTGAACTTGTGGGCTCGGTACCACAGTCACAGGGAACATCAAGCTCAATTGGCATAACACACTACACAAAACATTGTTCCACCTCCTACTTTGACAAGTAGCAACTGGGATCTTAAAATCTTGCAAACCACCAACTAGATGCAATGATGGGTCTCTCCTCGTCTAGAGCAAAGAAGAATGAAGAAAACCAAAGATCCATGGAAACAATTAATCCAAGCAATTGGTACATGTGATCCTCAGCCTATATGACTATGAGGCCAGAAGAACTAGATGGTGCCTGGCTACCACTGTCAACCTCTCAGAGGAGGAGGGATCTCTGTAGGAGATCCTGGATAGAGTGGGAGAACAATGTGGAACAAAAAGTCATTTGGGGAAAAAAAAAATGGGGGGACCAGGTTTGCTGGTCTGATAGAGCCTGATGGAACCACTGAGACTATGGCCCCTTGCTGT